GCAAAAGTCGGACCACGGGCCGTACAGCACTGTTACTTCAAAGGAAGTCGTTTTATGAAAACTTGGTATCGAAAGCTGTTTGCAACATAGCGTAAAGGCTCAGCTAGACTGGGGGGGGGGGACGGGGCTGAAGGGTCATGACACCCGACTGCCTTTGCGACTCCGACGGGCAATCCTCGAAGTCCAGCATTCGCTTCAGTACCAAGATCCCGAGGAGAAACAGTAGAGAACAGAACGGTCTCAGCGGTGGAGAACAAGCAGAAGTGAGAGGGCGCGGACAAGCTGCGCCTTTGGCTGTGGTGAAGTGTGCGGCAACGAGGGGCGGAGTTCAGAACGGCATCCGGGATGCTCTACCTTCAGTGGTCTTCGCGGGGAAAGTGGCATGCTACAGTAGCTGCGGCTCCATTCACCTACCAGGATCTACGGAGGTGAGTGTGCAGTTGAACCGGAATTCGAAACCCGAAACCCCCAGTCCTTTGAGATCCCAAAACAATAAGTGTTTGCCCTTATGTCCGAGGCAAGCTCACAATGCAATATTGTCTTTGAAAGTTGGAAAGGGTGAGGTCTTTGTTGTTAATCAGCTTTTTGGGGTACTCCACGCACTCTACTTCCGTTCATAATCAGAGTTTCATAGGCGAATTGAGACATACAGTCGCTTGTGGAAGCTATCCGGTGAACAAGTGAATGTTTTTACCCTTTCATACGGATTTGACACCAATTTGCCTTCTTCGGAGGACGGAAGACGTGGTCGGCTCGAGCCTGAGCCAGTCGAGGTTTGACCCCGGGCCAAATGGTGAGGTACATGCTACTACACCACCATCGCCCCATCTTAGCTTTACGGGTCAGGAATCACCACCATTCCTCTACAAAGCCTCGATCAAAGCGCCGCAAATAAATTGGAAGTAAAGAATAGTTCGGTACAAATTTCTTTTGTGGAATCGTTTATTCAAATACTATCTTCTCGTTATCTATCACAGTTCCTGATGAGATCACTTGTTGCTTAGACGTTCTATTGACGATGTTGACGTTTCCCTGAATACAAAGAGCTTACTGTATGTTATGTGCAAAAACGTAGCCCATAATGCCACTAGGCGCATGGTACACGCTGTTCGCAAGGGCGAAGTTTGGCCTGTCGCTCGCCTTTCATCGTTCTCTCAGGCCACTTCTAGAAAAGAGGAAACTACCATATGGTATGAAATAATGTAATAGCTAACTCCGACCATGTGATCACCGTAAACCTTGAAGTGAAGCAGTATAGATCTCCCTGGACCCTTTTTTAGAGCTGGATTAGGTAGGGATAAAAAGCAGCAAATATTGAAACACCGTCCGTAAGGCCTTCAGTTCGTGGTGCCCGAAAAGGGGCCTAAGTGGAAATAGCCCTCGCTCGACACGTTGCCTGCGGACCCGAAGATAGTTGGTGCCTATCCCGATCCCTCATTCACTCGGGAGAATACCAGAACGTAATACGCCATGGCGAAAGAGCTTACTCCTCTGAAGAGACCCCCTGCCATATCATCCTTCCTCTCACATTTTTGCCATCTTGTCTCTCCTCCACTTGCTGCGTATTTCTTCACTACTGATTTGCGCTTTGATGGACTTGCAACACAACAAAACGGGGCCTCACTGGGGCCTTTTCTCCCTTTTTTCCTCCTTTTTTCTTCTCTTTCTTTTTCCTTTGTTTCTTCCTTTTCTTCTGCTATTCTTTCCTCATTTCTATTTGGCAGACCAATTAGCTACATACTGGTTCGGACCATTCTAAATGCCTACATAGACCGTCATGGTCATGGAATTTACCTCCAGAGCCAAAGTTTGCAACTCATAAAAAGGAAAGCGTTACCTTGAGAAATAAAAAGGAAAGCGTTACCTTGAGAACGACGCCCTTTTCGAATCGGACGTCTCCTTCAATCTTAAGCGAGTCAAGTTCTTGCATATCAGGGTAATCATCAAATCGAGCGTGAAACTCGTCCACCTAAATTTTTATTATGGGGAGAGGCTCTATTTCTGCAGACACTGAAGATAGCACAGTGAGGTCGAGCGCGATTCGAGCGATTCGGTAGCACTTAGAAATTATGCGGCTGCAAAGAATCACGCTCCATCGCTGATGGTTGGAGACTGCAACTCCGCCGGCCGCTTTACTCCGAATTAATGCGATAGGTAGGACGCGATTCTCAAATCGCACATCTGAATCGCTCATCACAAAGTATGGAAGCTATCTAACGTACACGCTGGAAAAAGCTGCCAAGTTCTACGGTAGGTGCAGGACGATTCCGGTTAAGCTGTAGAGCACGTGCGGCGTTGAGAGTGTACAAATTGGAAGAGATCGCCAAGAGGTCGTCAGCTTTTTTCACTGGCAGGAACCTGCATCTGTCTACGTGTACGCCTGGAAGAAAATTTTTGATCATTTCACTCTTGAACTTTTCAGGTAATTGCTCACTTATGTAGCTGCGACCATGAATGGAACACAGAAGAAGCAGAACAAGAGATTGAATTTACCCTCCGCGCTGTCACCCTAGAACGAAGCATACATTTGAAGGCAGTTGGCACGATAAATCCCTAAAAACGAGTAGGATTGATACGCCTGGCAGGGCGGATTTCCGCGACCCTGAGTAGGCGCTGCATAGCGGTTTTTCCTAGGGAGGTACCCTTATAAGGGTCCTATCAAGCTACAACATACCGACCCAAACGCCCACCACGCCCGCCCGCCCCCCCCCTACAAATGGACGACCTTGACGACGACACGACCAGATGCTCGTTTTGCTTCATTTGCTGAGTAAAACATAAACCGAAGGGATTAGTATGAAGCGGCTGCGGTGCTGAATGGATATATGAGTACATACAGTACCTGCCGGAGCGGTTATTTGCAATACGCCTACGGGAAACTCGTCCGAAATTGCTTTTCAAGAACGAAGGCTTTTCTTCGCAGTTTTTGACCGTTTCACTTCGTTTTTTCGCCATTTTCCCACTAGATAGCGCCCTGCTAGCATTTAGGCTGAGACCAAATTATCGTGCCAACTGCCTCCAAAGCTGTCTTCTTGCACTGAAGATGAAGCTACCGAAAAACTGACTGTAAATCTGGCGGCTTACATAGGATAATCTGAGAGGACTATATGAGGGCTATCAACGTTGTTACTGCTTTAGTTGGGATCCAGGAAGAGAATGCAAAAAGGGGTATTCACAAGTACGCAGTTATGGTTGCGGTTGCGTACAGCCTCATTAGCTGCGGGTGACGGAGCATATCAGCGATGTTGGGTTTGGCTACCAGCCAGTCCGTTCTCCACCATTTGTGGAAGAGGGTAGGCGACAAAAATTGATGGAAAACGACTCACACGAACGATATGAAACAGCCTTGTCGTTTCGGAGAGAATAAGAAGAGAAACAAGCTAGTGCCACTCCGAACATTCCCCCAGCCCCGTCTCCTCCCGACACGGCCCATCATCCGCAGCATAGAAGACTGTATTCCGGTGCCGACACCTTTATACATACCTCTCTGTCCCTCTTCTGTTTGGACCCTCGCAGCCGTCGCCGTGCTTGTAATTGAACTTTTCTTACCGCCCTTTCCGCCTTCAAAAATGGACTACAGCTGTGTGAGGGGAAAAACATTGGAGAATCCCACCATTATCTAATCCGCAGGTATTCCGCTCGAACAAATCAAGGTTTCAACCCCTGTACGGTAGTTTAATGATATTTGAACCTTCTTCACGAGCTGAGCCCTGAAATCCACCTCAAGATTTTTTCCCCTACGATGTCTAATAGAGGCGGAATACGGGGCGTATCTAACAGTAACAAGGTTGATACGTCAGCGCTTCATCCTTTGCCTCTCTACTTGGAAAATAGCGTACAAAATGCTCGTGGAAAGTTTCGTATACATCCACCAATTGATGTTTCCAGCTGTATCACTGCTCGACCGTTCAAAGTCTGAAATTGATTAGCATGTTGAATTTCCTCTAATCCCCACAAAATCTCGAGCAAAACTCTACGAAAAATACAGACCTTCTTATTGACAATGATTTCACTTGAAATCGTGTCCAGTCGCTGCTTCACCGCTCGCAGATTCACCCATATGTTGTTTGTATTGAAAATCCTGAAAACTGCACACTGTAGAAGATGGCTTTTATTCTTTGGGCTGAATAGGTGGGGGCACAGCTACGATCCACCATTTTCAGAGTGCGACTTTTTTAAAGTCTTGCGTTCCACTCACTTGAATGTGCGCGTTGAACAGAATTCGTCGAGATGCTCCGGTGGCACTTGTGGGATCTCGAGGTGCATCAGCTGCCCAGCGATGTCTATGAGCGTGCCTCCCTGAAAATGTCTATAAGCACATCGTTTCGTGGGCTCTCCAAGAATCAGACACTCTGGAAACCAACCCCAATTGCCTATTCAGAAACACTCCCCCTTTCCCTTGAATGCGCATCCCACTTTGGTTGATGGGGCGGCGCCTTGCAGAAGTAGAAGGCCATTGTATCATTGGCGCGTTTCATTTTCTTGAAGGCTTATGATGAGCACCAGCTAGGAAGACATAATAGCCCCCGTCCCTGCCATCAGGGTTGACGGTGCCTCTGAGAATTAAACGACTAGCTGCTGACTAACTACACGTTACCTTTGATATCTGCTGTGTGTCTTTGCTGCTGTGCACTCCATTATGTATTCAGCTGCTTCGTCACAGGCAAATTGAGCGATTTTCAAGTCGAGCGTGGCACCGGTGTTGTCTATATTTGAGACGAACATTATGTCTCGACCTGAAAACAAAAACCAGGTGAGAACGGAAATAATTTTTCTAATTTTGGAAGGCTACTATTTGGTTCATGGCTCACATACCCTGTTGAAGTAACTCGTCCAGAACTCCTGTCATTGAAAGAGACTGAAATATGTTGCCGTGTCCTGGAGGATACCATCTGAAATGATCAAGGGTGCCGTTTCTTTGATGTCGTTCGCCTAAATCCCTGAATGTGACGCAACTTTGGGGAGGGAGGGCGCGCGGCAAACCGGTGGGCGGGTTCGATGTGGTTATGTGAAAGCGGAGAATGGTTTCAGGACAAGTACAGTTAAAGTCGAGTCGTCGCCACGTCGCGGCGAGTGCAGAACAGGGCAAGCGGTATCTTTGCCCTGTGTATTCATCCACTCCATCTGCATCGGTCCACAGTTATAACGGTTTTGAAAAACCCTCAACGTCGGCGCGATCGAATTTGTGGGGTGGGGGAAGGGGAAGCGGTGGTGGGGGGTGGGACAGGATCTTCCTCGTTGACGTGGAATTCTAAGTGGAAGCGGAGGATTATCTATGGTTGACCACGCAGTCACTGCCCACCCGGTTTTAATTCTACCTTCATCACTGTACCTTTCAAGAGGCTCTCACAATGAGTCTTTGCTAAAGCACGCTAATATAGTTCTCCACAGTAAGGTACCTTGGCCACTCACTCTTGCTCGGAACCATCCTCTTCGACAGGAAGGAGCGTGTCGGCGTAGATCCGCGGACATCTCGACTGACAGAACGTTTTCACGTCACTGCTTGTACCAAGTTCTTGAAGCGTTTGCTCATCCGTGTAGAAGGAGTTCATCAAGAACAACGGAACATGGCAATTATGCACGCGATTGAACACCTGAAAAATCCAGTTAACTGTAGCCCAGTTCGCAGGGGCTTGTTAGAAGAGAGAGGCTGGGTTCAGAATGGAAAACAGCCGGCGCTGCAGCAAATCCATCCTCCACCCTTACACGCCCTAAGCCCGCAGCGACACGACTGTTTGTTAATTCGACCAGAAAAAATCCCATTTTGATTCCGCGCTTGGGTGGGGTGGGGCAGTGGGGCAAAGGGGATCAAGAGCAATATCAGTAATGACACGCAGAGAGCGCTGGCGCTTCTACCAAAACAAATTCGATTTTGGTCATACAACAGGGAGGGACAGAAGGCTTGACTGAACTCAGCCAAGGCTGCTTCCGAGTAGGAATCTGA